AAGTTCATCCCTCCAAGACTGCATGTAGGTGCCCAGGCTACCCCAAACCTTCCTAGATACCTTACCTCCCCTTCCCCCAGCCTGCCCCACTCTTCCTGTTGCCTCCCTGCCCTTTACATGCCTCTCTATGGGACTTGGTCTGAGTACTGCAGTCATGTGCCCGCTGCTCTGTCCTCTGGGCTGGGCTCTGTACTCCTTGGTAGCAGGAGTTCTCTGCAGTTTGGGACCCTGGCTTCTAGACAGTGTGTGACACCAGAGGTGGACTTGGTGAGGTTTTGCAGGTAAGGAGCTGAGGAGTCTGGGTGAAAGGTGGGTGAAAGTAGACACTGTGGGAAGTGAGAAGCCATCTGTGAGCGCTGGGACAAGGCATGTTGGGTCACTCTGTGCCTCTCAGGGAGGTCTAGACCCAAACCCACCTGCTGACTGAAAGAGTTTCATAAGCGACACCACCTCCTTCTGTGGTTTCTGGAATCAGAAGCCCTCATGCTCAGAAACTGTAGAATTATATTTCACCAAATCCTTTATACTAGGGCCTAAGTATCCCCCCTCCCCGTTAGCCTCAGGATGCATGGATCCTGCCACGAAGGTAAATAAACATTTAAATCAGAGCGGTAATCAAATTGAAAGAAGAGTTGTGAAGTTAGATGCCAAAATGCATGAACCTATTAGGTAAGCTTTAAACCACATACCCATGATTACTGATAAGCGAGGGCTTTGCATATAAGGTACTTCTTTCCCGTTTAAATTTCTCTTCATGCATAGTTCTGCTCCATCCTGGTTAGATATTCTGGACACTGCAGTTCATTCTTTATCCTTCTTTATTTCTACAACTTGCCAAGTGTAATCACACACAGAATCATGCTTTGTAAAATAGCGCCCGCCCGAAGGAGCACGGGAGCCCACGAAGACAATGCCGTGAGGGGAGAAATGGAAGCATCCATCTCCTCACCAAGTATTTCTCCATCCGGCTTCAGTAATTCCAGTTTCCTTGGAGATTGGAGCCCACCTTTTACTTTTTCAACTATATCACAATGGTGAAAAATCTTTTTGTCCTTCTGCTAGATTAATTTTTTTACCCGACCTTCGAGAGTCCTGTTGGCTCTGCTCATTTGCAGATTATATCATTTCTCATACCTTTGCAGCATCTGTGAATGAAGCGTTAAGATCTCTATTTAAAATACCATATACTTTATATTTACCTTGGTTTAAGAGCTCAAGTAGCTTTCAGAGGATAAAGCAAATATTTTGTTCATTTTAAAGGACCTTTAATGTCTTTCCTCTCATGTGCAGAACACATTTTTCCCCCCTGCCTTCTTCCTTTTTTGATGGTAGTGGTGGGAGACTTAACAGGTCCTGCTTTCCTATAACTTTCTGTTTTGACCCCAGCTATGTTGTGTACAAGCCTAGCCTTTCTAGCAGTGCGAGGGATGGATATTACCAATATTTAGAGGAAACTTTAGTAACTTAGATCTCTTGCTACCTTGCTTCTCAGGGCAGGTGTAAGGATAAATAAGGTAAAGTGCTTTGATCTTCTCAAAAACAAACCAGTCTGAGGAGGAAATGTTATGGGGGATTATGTCACTGGCAAAAAGCACTATGGAACTGCCAAGTGTGTCTGGTGGTTAACTCTTGGATCCAGCATTCACTGCCAAAATGCCATCTTGAAGGTGACAGGTTCCCTATGTATAGCCAAAGTAAAGAAACGCACTTAAACAGAGTTTAAGAATGAAGTTGAATTTTAATGAATGCCCTTGTATGTGGATCTGGTGTAATCTTATCATGGAGCGCATTGTCCATTACTCTTCCAGGGTTTTTTTGTTGTTGTTTTGTTTTGTTTTTTTACCATTTTAAAATTCCTTCAGTAGTCACTTCAACTTTTTCAGGTTAACTTCTCTATTTGGTGCAATACTGAGGGGTAGAGTGTTTGTTAATGAATTTGGGGGAGTAAGATTTCACATAAATAAGAATATTTAAATATCCGTTTATACATTTTGAGGTATTTACTGTACTTGGAAACTATCTTGACGACCTTTTACTTCCACAATTCTCAATCTCTAAAAGGCCATCAAGCAGGTAAGGGGGAAGTCTCCTTTGTGTTTGCTGGAGAGACTTGATACGGACACTGGGTGGACACAGGAAAGAAGTGCGGTTTAACTGACAGGAGACTTTCCGCAGAGACCTGGCCTCCGCTGGTGCCGCAGCGGCGGCAGATGGCTGGCTGGCCTTCTGTCTCCAGGGCAGGCTGGCCTCTCGCCAGCAGGGAGAGGCTGGGCCAGGCGGTGCCCAAGGTTGCTTCAGACCTTACAGAATCTGTGAGATTACTTTTGGAGCAATAAGAACTTAAGAAAACGAGCGTGGCAGGAGGTACCCTTGTCATGTCGACAGCTGGAGCTGAGAAAGGGTGAAATGAATTTGAATGGGAGTTGGTGGCTCTGGTGGTGCCATGTGAGGCCTCTTGGTAACTCGGAGAGCAAGTGCAGGGGCTTCAGGGCCCAGGGCCCTTGCCTGTCAAGTCCCTCCTGTTCTACCCTGCCCTCGTCTTCCATCTACTGGAGAATTTGTGCTTCCGACCCAATGCATTGCCCGATGGTTTCCTCTCCAGTGAACTCTTGTGAGCCTTGTTTGTATCTGCCTCCTACCGACTGGGCCCAGGGGCTCCACCTTCAGCATTCCCTCAGCACTCCCCACAGTCCTGTTCTAGAACCACGCTCTGTGTAGTAAATGGCGTGCCTTCCTGCGAGAACCGCACTTGCCTCAGCATGTTTCGGGAACTTGACCAGACCTCAGCCGATGGAACACACCTGTTTAGTGAGGACTTAATCAGAGTGTTGGGATTTTCACCGTGGCTCCGTCACCTCTCAGCTCTGGGATGGTGGGTGGGTGGCTCAGCCAGTGCCTCAGTTTCTCCTCTGTTGAAGGGGGTATTTACAAGCTCCCCTCCCCTGTAAGTTTATTAACATTAAATGAGTCAATACATGTAAGGCACTTAGGATAGTGTCAAGTCAGCATTTCGTAAGTTATAGCTCTTACCTGGATCAAAGCTGAGAACCAAGTTATTAAGAAACAAATTACTAGTAGAGTTTAGTTAAAATGGAGCAAGTTTGGGGCTAAGAACAAAATGATACTTAAAGATACTCCAAAATATTACCTAAAATAACCTAGCTGAACTCTAATAGATGTTTCCTCTCTTGAAATAGCCCAGCATCGTGCCGTCCTAGGTGACTAGTGCACAGGGTCAGGAAGAAGCCAGGCTCCTTTTAGCACTCAGAATTGGTGTCGCACAGTACAAGCTGTCCTATTTCCCGTCTGCATTCCAGCCCTTAGGGAAGAGAATGGTCAGGAAAAGTGGTCTCAACTGTAAAGAGGAGCTGGAACTTGTATACATCATTTAGGGTCTTATTGTCCCAAATAGTGTCATGACCACACTGAGCTCCAAGGGTAACTCAGGGGTTCTTGCCTTGCCACTGAGTGGCTGTGAGACTCTGGGGAAGTTGCTTAACCTCTCTGTGCCTCTTCTGTGGTCTTTAAGACGGGGGTACCTTTGTCACCAGGTTGTGGCGAGGATTACATTAATATATGTAGAGCATTCAGGACTGTACCTGGCACGATGGAAGTATTGTGTATACAGCAATGATTATGGTTATTTTGCTAAAAGGAAGCAGGGAGAACGAGTATCGAGGGACAGGAAAAACCAAAGACCTGGCTTCCTTGCTGGCCTCCTTTTGGGAGGTTTTTGGGTGGCTGAGCTATGTTGTGATTCCTGTAGGTCTCAGGAACCTGGAGCTTCCGGTCCTGCACAGGTCTTGTTTAGAGGCCTAAAGAGGTCTTTGGGTCAATCATGAGAAGGGTTGGGGAGCTGTGTTTATGGTTTTGACCTCCCAGTTTTTCATTTTTAGCTCTTCCTTTACTGTAGCTTATCATTAATTGTCATGAATATACCAAGGACGTAAGTTACAGGAAGCCTTGCATTTATAACCATATATATTTTCAATATTTTAAAGTTTTTTTCTTTTTTTAAGATTTTTTTTTTTTTTTTTTTGAGCAGAGGTCGTGATGCCTGTTTATTCCCCCACACGTTTCTTGTCACCGTGGCTAGCACTCAAGTTAGGACACATCTCGCCAGACATGGGACGGACTGCGGGTGGCTGGCAGTGGCCCGTCTTCCCACTAGTTACCTACAACGCACACGTACTGGGTCTACCTCCCAGACGGCCCAGACCATGAGGGAACCTCACACGATCCAGATGCCAACATTGGTGCCTGCAGACCTGCCCTCCCCCCATCCCGCCCAAGTGGAAGCCGAGGGCACATCCACAGTGGCCCTGTGTCCTGGGCGGGCTGTCCGGCCATGGCTGGCACTCCTGCCCCGCTGGGAGCAGCTCTGGTGGCTGTCTGGCAATGTCAGGCCGAGGCGGGGGTGTGGGGCACCAGGGACCCCTGCTGGCTCCCCAGCCCTGAACAGGACAGGAGAGCCTGCCAGGGACCCAGCATGCCGGCCGGCAGGATCATCTGTGGACAGAAGGGCAGTGGGCTGGACACCCAGCTGGGGACGGGTTTGGGGTCTGTCGGTCATGAGTACTGGGACAAGAGGATCAGAGATGAGACACGTGTCCATCCAAATGCTTGATTGGAAGTCAAGTCCCAGTACCTGGTCCCTTGTACCCCAGGACGGTCCCACCCCTGCTCCCAACAGGGGTGCAAGGTCACGGAAATTGTCTTTTAGGAAAATGTGTCTGAAGAGCTCCTCAAATGAAAACCCACGGTCTGAGGGGCAGGGCGGCCACTGGTGCCCAGACCGCGGCTGGCAGTGAGCTCATCCGAGCAGGGCGCGGCTGGGGAGGCCAAGGTCGACTCAGAATTGGCTTTTCATGTCTCGTCTGAGGACAGACCACGGGGCTGCAGAAAGGGGCTCTGGGAGCCGTGGGTGTCCCCGACACAGCTCAGCACAAAATGGGCAGGCTTCCTGGAGAGCGGCTTGAGGACAACCCCAGCCTGGGGCGGTCTAGAAGACGCTTCCCTGGAGGAGTTTTCAGGGGGCTGGGAGAGGTCAGTGCTGGTCTGCGTTCACAGCTTGCTGGCTCTGTTTCGAGAAGGGTCTAGGGGCCGCGGGAGACTACAAACAGGGAGGGGACGGCGGAGGGAGTAACAAAAATCCATCTTAACATGCAGGTCCGATTTCTGTTTCTTTTTCTCTCTTGGGTGGTCCAAGGGGAGAAGACGGCAAAATGCGAGACGGCCTCCGGTCGGTGGGAAAGAACTGGTGGCACTGGGAGGGGTGGGCGGTCACTCCTGCTGGTCGTCGTTGCTGGCACTGGGGGTCCGACTCCGGATCTGACTCCGGAGCTGTTCTATCAACTCTGGGTTCTGCTGCTGCATCTGCTGGGCGAACTGCTGGCCGGCCTGGATGAGACTGGCCAGGTCGTTCTGTGATGGGCTGGTGCCGGGAGTCCCCAGCGGGTTGTGGCCGCCCGAAATCATGCCGGACATGAGCTGCTGAACCTGTGGGTTGTTCATTAGGTTGGACGCCATGCTCATGAAGCTGGGGTTGTTGAGCAGGCCAGCGATGTCAAAGCTGCCGACGCCTCCTGTGGGACTCGGCGTCTCCCTCAACTTCAGCTCGGCTATCTTGAGGTTCGACTTGTAGGTCTCGTTGTCAGGATCCAGCTCCAAGGCCTTCTTGTAGTAGGCCACAGCCTCGGTGTGCTTGTTCAAGCTGGAGAGCGCGAGGCCCATCCTGCCGTAGGCTTTGCTGTAGGATGGGTCTATGCAGATGGCTCGCTCACAGTCCTGCACAGCCCCAGTGTAGTTCCCGAGTTTGCTGTAGGCCGCGGCTCTGTTACAGAAATAGACCGCGTTGGCCGGGTTCAGCTCGATGGCTTTGCCGTAGAAGTGCACGGCGGCTTCAAAGTTCTCCACTTTCATCTGCTCGTTTCCTTCAGTTTTGAGGCGCTCTGCCTCAGCCGAGTCCTCCTCTGAAGGTGGGGTTCGCTCGGGGCTCCTCAGGTCCTGTGGCACCTCCTTGCCCGCGGCGGCTGCTTCGAATATTTCCGGAAGGGTCTGAGGGAGAGTGAGGTCATGGTCTTCCACAGTCACCCCAAAAGCAGTCTCCAGGCACTGGATTGCAACTTCCAAGCTCTCCTGGGCGTCGGATGAGAGCCCCCCGTGCCGGAGCTGGTCGTGCAGGAACCGGATGATGGCGTAGGCCAGGCGCTTCTTGTTATCCATCTTGAGACAGGAAGGGACCACGCCTCGGGTTTTCGGATCTCTCAGGCTGCCGAACGCCGACCCACCCCTTTTTTTAAGATTTTATTGGAGAGCACAAGCAGGGGGAGCAGCAGACGGAGAGGGAGAAGCAGACTCCCCGCTGAGCAGGGAGCCCGATGCAGGGCTCGATTCCCAGACCCCTCGATCATGACCTGAGCCAAAGGCAGCGGCTTAACTGATTGAGGCACCCAGGCGCCCCACATTTTTGATCATATTAACTTATAATTTTAACATTCGGTCTTCCTTATAGCAGGTGTAGTAAAATAATGGCTATAAAGTGAAGCTTCCTATACTGAAATAGATTTCTAATTGACGTCAAGTAGGAAATGGGTGTTAATGGAAAGTAGTATGCCGTGCAGTGGCTTGTAACCCCTCTTCTTTTCTCTGAGCCGTCCCCTGTGTGGGTAGTGACCGCAAGCACCTACCTTGGCAGCTCCCAGACTTGAGAGCACCGTTCCAGGAAATAGTTACGCATGTGCCCTGACAGTGGGATACCAGTCCAAGTAGACTGGGGAACTCTGGCTTGCTGTGTGTTCCACGTGGAGATTCACGGGGCATGTTAGTGGATGCAAAGCTCTGAGAAGGACGACACAGAGAAGCCTGCTTCGTATTCTTTGGTTCATTTGGCAAACTCCTTTGAAAATGAACTTTTGGACTTCTTGGCCTGAGTAGTGCTGCTTTAAGTATTCGGGAAGATCAGGGTCTGGATGTAGTGGTTTTGGGAGTATGAAAATCCTCCCGTCCCTCAAAGTTTCATAAATAACCAGGCTCTAATTCTAGGAATTCCTGCTCTTGCTTCTTATCGGGCAAGGTGTAAGTATCAAGCCTAATTCCTTGTTCATCTGCAGAGGAAGTAGCAGGAAAGTGGTCACACGTGAGTGAGGGGAAAGGTTGTTGCCTGGTAAGTGGTGCTGAGCATTCTTTTAGGAGTTCGTTAATCCAGGAGCGTTCAGATTTAAAATCTACGAAGGTCTATGTCTGCAAGCCCTTGAGACCATTTTCGTATTCTAATGATAAGTTATGTAAGGTAAAAATTTGAAGATTCTGCATAAAAGAATTAAGCACATACGTCACAATATCCGCAGTAGACATAGAGAACTTAATTTCCAGAGAAATACAAGAATGATGGGTGCAAAGAGCTTTTTGTAAGGCTAGCAGCTTCCCCAACTATGAAAAAGCCAAATTCTTCTTGTGTGCCACTGATAATCTGTGTGCCAGTGGTATTTGTGAATGTAGCCATTTAACAGTTCAAGCTTCCTTGTGGCCTTCTACTGAGTATAAATGTAAATCTTCCTATCCTCAGAGTTGACTTATTTCTTAAATTTTTAAATTTCTGTGTCTTGTTTCACATCCAAATTGATCAGTACTGTGCCATTAGAAATAAAAAGGCAGCTACCTTACTTAATATATGCTTTTTAAAGTATATAATTCTGATTTTAAAAATATATTCAACATTGGCCTGAGACACAGAAAAATAAAAATTACATAATTATAGGGGCGCCTGGGTGGCTCAGTGGCTTAAAGCTTCTGCCCTTGGCTCAGGTCATGGTCTCAGGGTCCTGGGATTGAGCCCTGCATCAGGCTCTCTGCTCAGCAGGGAGCCTGCTTCTCTCTCTCTCTCTCTCTGCCTGCCTCTCTGCCTACTTGTGATCTCTCTCTCTGTCAAATAAATAAATAAAATATTTTTTTAAAATTACATAATTCTATGTCTAGCCATAATCACTTAATATACTGGTGTATTTCAGTTTTTCCTATGAATATTAAATACTCTGACCACGTTAAAGGTACATTTTGTATTTTGGTTTTTATAATCCTTTTTCATTGCTATTAAACATTTGTAGTAAACACAGTTTTGTGTAGAATTACAGGATTGACTTAACCCATTATTTTTGAATGTTTAGGCTATTTGCAGTTTTTGCCATTATGAATAATGACATAATTAACATCTTTGTGCATAAAACTCTCATTTCAAAATAAAGTCCTGAGAATAGATCTCTCAAAATAGAATTACTAGGTATAAAAGTACCTAAGTACTTTTATAAGGGTGTTGCTACATGTTGCTAAGTTATTTTACAGAGATTATACCAGTTAATGTTCTTTCCAGAGGTGTGTGGCAGTAAGGGGTCACTTTAATAGTTTGGTAATTTTATTGGCAAATAATAATCCTTAATTTGCATTTATTTAATTACTGATGACATTGAATATTTAAAAAGTGTTCACTAGCCATTTTTTCATTTTTCTGAATTTTCTGCTCATGTTGTCTATTTTTCCATTGTATATTTATGGGGATGTCAGTTTTTTCCCCTCTAAAAATATTTACTTATTAAAGATATTAAGTTACTGTCATATTATTGCCAATATTTTTTCTAGCTTTGGATAAATAATCTTACAACTTTTGATATGCAGAAGTTTAGATTTTTACATATATAAGTGTACCAATCCTTTTCTTTGTAATTTTTTTTACTTTTTTTTTTTTTTTTTTTGGGAGATCGCAGCAAAGGGAGGTGGGGGACAGAGTCTGTGCTGAACCCACTGACCCTTAGATCATGATCTAAGTGAAACCAGGTATCCCTCACTTAACTGACTGAGCCACCCAGGCGCCCACCACTGTGTTTAGAACATTGTTTTTCATATCCCCGAATCAGCGATCGGCTTTTTTTTCTTTAGTTTTGACTATTGTTCACATTTATCTTATGCGTATTTCAGAATTTTGTGGTGGAAGTTAAGCTACAGCTCTAAACGCTTTTTTTTTTTTTTTTCCTTTTAGTTAGTTGGTTTCCTTACACAATAGAATAATGGGATTTCTTTCCCATTGACTAGTGGTCCTATTTACTACAGTCAAGGTTCTACTTCTGGAATATCTTTTCTGTTCCACTGGTTTTTGGTTTTTGTTCTCAAGTAATACCTTGTTTTAATTATTATAGGAATAACAGTTCTGTATCTTTTCCTATAGTTAATTCCCCTTATTTCTAATTCAGTGTTTTTAATTAGGCAAGGACTTTTCAAACCGTGCTTAGTAAAAATGGTCATAATAAGCTTCCTTATTCCTGGTTTTTAATACAAATACTTTTACTGTTTTACTTTAAGTAATTGTTGGAAGGAAATACCCTTCTGGGCTCTTAAAAACATGAATCTGAACGAAAGCAGCTTATCAGATGCCCTTTGAATATCTGTATAAGTCTGAATTTGGAAGTTGTTTATAAAGTGAATTTTTATAAGTGAATCACACTTTGCGAGAACTTACATCGCACATTCCAAAGTGTGTCCCTAGAGAAAATGCTTAGGCCTCAAGCAAAATACATTTTTTGGTGCCAGAATCTTTTTCCTTTCCCTCAAAGACAGTAGGACATTTTGTTTTTTTTAAATTCCCACTTAGAAAAACCTCTTCAAGAAGGAAGATGGAGTTTGAGAATGTGTTCTTGATGCTGGCATTATTCTGAGGAACTCTTAGAAACAGTGTCCAAAAACATTAAATTCTGGACCTCCTGAGGGAGAATTTAAAGTAGGATTCAGGATCTAATACCAAATGGCTAGGTGCCTGGAAGATGCCTCTTGATCTGACTTGCTTGAATCTCTGTTCCAGAACCAGTCCAGTTGAACTTGCTGGGATGATAGCCCTGCCATCCAGTTTGGTAGCCACTGGTCACATGTGACTATTGGGCACTTGAAATGTGGCTGGCAGGAAAAACGGAATTTTTAATTTAAGTTCAGTTAAAATTTAAATAGCTGCATGTTGGGGCACCTGGTTGGGGGCACAAGGTATTACTTGAGAACAAAAACCAAAAACCAGTGGAACAGAAAAGATATTCCAGTTGGTTAAGTGTCTGACTCTTGGTTTTGACTTAGGTGTTGATCTCAGGGTCTTGAGATCAAGCCCTACATGGGGCTTGGTGCTCCGTGGGGAGTCTGCTTGAGATTCCCTCCTTTTCCCTCCGCCCCTCCCCCAACCTCACCCCTGAGCACTCATTTGTTGTCTCTCTAAAATAAGAAAATAACTCTTTAAAAACGATTTTTATTTGATAGAGCACAAGCAGAAGGAGCAGAGGAGGGAGAAGCAGGTTCCCCGCTGAACAGGGAGCCCAATGCAGGGCTAGATCCCAGGACTCTGGGATCATGACCTGAGCTAAAGGCAGATGCTTAACCAACTGAGCCACCCAGGTGCCCTGAAAATAAATAAATATTTTTAAAAAAGAGCTGCATGTGGCTAGTGGCTACTATATTGGATAACACAGCTCTATACAATGAATCAGTATATATATCTTAGGTCATTCATATCTCTCAAACTGTGCCTCTCTGAATATGGCTGGAAATTTCCTAAGAGTCTTAAATGTCAAGAATTTATAAATTGGAAGATTTGGGAAGGAAATCTATAATGGTCTGATTTTTGGATTCTTGTTAAGGTACTCCCTGTATTCAGATGATATGCATAGCTGTTGACAACTCCTAGTATCCATATGAAAAATAATGTGTTTGTGGTCATTGACAAATTAACATATTCATGATGATCTGAAGGACTTTTTCCTTTTGCAGTTGCTGGGTTAATATTGCCAAAATGAAACTCACTTGTAGATCATGTGCTTCTGTAGCACTGAAGGTTGGTTGTCACAAAAACCATTTACTACAGATGCTCAGAAAGAAACCCTCTTGTGTAATTGACCTTCACCTACTACTTCTGTTACAAAATGTGGTTTTAGAGGTGCTTCCATTTCTTGAAATAAACTTGATTTTATATCTGTTCTAATATTTTCTAATCTTGTATTTCAACTATTATATGTAGGTCTTCTAGAAATAAAAGAATCTTTAGAAAAGGTACATGAAAGGATGTGAATCCATGTAGCCTCAATATGCATGATGTGATGCCACCACTGGCTTTAAGCTTTGCAGCTTGCTAAATGCAGTATTTACATTTGGTGTAGACCCTCCCCTCCCCCCTCCCTGTTCTGTCATGGGTAATTGATTAAAGTGAATATATTTTATAACCATCTTGAACTTAGTTGTTATATGCTATATCAA